TTTTGTTTTGTTGATTTTCAGAGGAGGCGTGTTGGATCGGAAATACAGAGACTGGTAGAAGTAGACTGTTACAGAGGAAGTAGACATAGACATGGAATGCCTTGCAGAGGACAAAGAACCAAAACTAACGCTCGCACTAAAAAGGGAAAGCGGGTTGCAATAGCGGGAAAGAAGAAAGCTCCTCGCAAGTAGGACCAAAGAACCTGTTTATTCTTTTGCACCAGTGTTTAAGACTCTGTGTTGGGAATGGATCAAATAAGCAAACATGTGCTCAGTTTTATGGTCTTTTTTTTGAAGATGAAGAAAGCTTCCAAGTGAGCTTGTACTTGTTCTTGTTTTGCATTAAGACTCTAGTTTGTTTTCTTATACCAAAAAATTTGCCCAATGTCAAAATATTCCCAATTCTCCCTAATCACTTGTTTGGTAACCATTTTCATCACTCATTACCCCAAAATTTTCCATTTCATACAATTTGCTTGTGTCTTTTTTCATATAATTAGTGGGTTTTGTTGGAAATTTGGAATATTGTTAAATATACGCTATCCTTTTATAAAGATCCTCTATTTAACGTGAACTTGGTGGTCAAGGCATAATCTCAATCTATTATAAATCCAAAGCAGAGACAAAGAAGATGAGTAATCACAATCACAAAGACCAATGTCACAGCTTATTATCAAACCTATAATCTGGAGAAATGTTTTTCTATTCCTCTGTTTTTATAACATGGGTTTTGTTGTTAGTCTCTAATCTATTTCAATGTACAGAGACACACAACAACAAACAACAACGTTCGAATGTTCTCATATAACTTTTCCGTTTATGTTGATTGATTACCTCGTCAACTTCGCATCTTCTCAAGATGATGGCCAGTGACAAAATGGTCTGAAAGCAAGTTCCCAAGTGACTGCAAGCAAAAGGAAATCTAGATTAGAGACCGGAAACTCAGTCCAAGGTTCGTGAAGCGATGAAGTTCGGGTTTTCGCGTAATCAATAATTAGGATTCTATCTTTGTAGCACTTTTTGCAGTGATGATAAATCTGTACGTATTCTCATCAGACACAAACCCTCTAACCCGGAGTTAACCGAGTATACCGCTCCTCTCTTTCTTCTGTCTCCTGTGATGCAAAATTATGTTGTGCAAACCTTCCCCACAACATACATGGTAGACGATCATTGCTATAGTTTCAATATATAAATAAACGTTACAATATGTTATTAAGATTAGCAACAACTGAAAAAAGAAAAGTGAGA